TTCTTTGCATCCATGCCTTAGCATTCCAGTAATACCACACGGGAAGTGTATTTTTGGAAATACCTCTCAAACATTTTGGATTTTCAGATTTATGGATGAAAAGTGCAGGAAGTTTTTCACCAGTTAAACTACAAGTAAGCATGGCAGTTATACAATCTTTAGGGCGTTTTTTCCCCATAACTGGTGTATGAGCAATTGTCCTATTAGGTTCTAGTTTCCAGAATATTGCAGTCTCATCACAATTCCATATATCTTCGGGATTATATTCTTGTAAGGTTTCTTGAAGTTGAAGGCGCATAGCAGCAATTTCATGATTGGGTGCACTCAATGATTCACCTCTTTTTTTGTAACTATGTAAATTATTTCTATTTTTAAAATTGTTTAACCATCCTATAGAAGCATTGAAATCACTAATTCCAAAAAGATTAGCAAATTCTTTTGCCTTTTCTTGAATAATAGGGCCACTGAATGTTAAATTTCTAACCAAAAGTTGATCAACCCAGATCCTTGTTGCTTCTTCAATATCAGGATAACCAATTTTTTTATTTCTATATAGATTGTTATTATTTAAACTTTCATCATAATCTAACCATTGAGGAGATTGACTCAATATATCGGAAACAGACTGTACAGATATTCCAAATTCATGGGCCAATTCAACACCTTTAATGCTTGGATTATTCTTTTTTTTTTCACATAATTCTTTTTTTTGTGCTTTGGTCAGTATTTTTCTTGTTTTCTACATAGTTTAAAATAATGATTAATTATAATGAATCATTTTATTCACAATTTAAATCTTATTTATATTACTTTAGATTGGTTTGAATTTTCTTCTGATCTGTTTTGTGAGTACATATTTTCAACTTTATTATTAAAAGTATAGTTGTTTTATTTTTAAATTGATAAAGTTTTTTTTTTGATTATAGACAAAGGTGGATATTTCCTTCCCTTTATATAAGAAAAAATTTTCCTATTGATTAAATCATAAGTTTTATTTTCACGAATCAATTATACAAGCCATAAATTTTAACTTTACAAATCATAAGTTTTATTTTACATTTAATTATTTTTAATTATAATAATAAGCTATTGTTTCTATTTTTTCCAAAAATATTGACGCTTAAAATCATAATTTTTTTATTTATTTAATCATATGAATCATGTTATATTATCGTATGTTATTATCATACGTTACTAATACGTTATTTTTTTAAATTTTCTAAACGGTAATGATCATCATTATCCGTTATATCGAAATAAATTTGTTAATGTACGACATTAAAAGGTTTAAAAAAATATCCGGTATACCGAATATATATAAAAATCCGCTAAATCTGTTAAATCAAGATAAAATAACTATAAAAAAATTCTGTTCCGAAATTTTATCCGTTAAACCCCTAAATCCGCTAAATCGAAATCCGCTAAATCGAATTTCACTGTGTATAATATTAAGAATGTAATAATCAGCAATACATCCACAATTTAATCTAACATATTCCTAGCTATTTCTTGGCAATGACACTATCAATATGTCATTTCCTTTTATTTCTTTATATGCTAAAATCATAAATATTGTAAAAGGACAAAGTGAAGTTCATTACAATGAAACAAATGAAACAAATGAACCTGAGCTGATGATCATTAATATAGAAGCTATAAAAGCTCCAGAAACTATACTTAAATATGTACAACAAAAAATTTTAGATATTGGTTTTCAAGTAATTAGAAATGTCAAAAGATTAAAAAGTGAAATTTCTTACAAAATTCTCAAGAACAAGTGCAAACAAGAATGGAAGATTATTATAATGTCAATGTTTTAAGTGAATGAATTGTTTTTTTTAATTTTTTTACCAACTGTATTTTTATTATCATCATTATTATTTGCATTCATATTATTAAAAATAAAATTGATTTTTTACGTAACATGTATTGTATGATTTAATCAAAAATTCAATTTTTTATGGATATTTTGGTATTATGGATGACTCGGTATAGTGGATAAATTTCTTGGAACAAACATATCCGTTATACTGAGACTTGCTGTGTATTCCATTTTTGCAATGAACAGCAATAGCCTCAATAATTTTGTTTCTTTAGCATTAATGATTGAATCAATCATCCCCAATAAGTTTAATCTTTTAACAAATATTGTTAGCTTTTTCCACTTTTAAAGCAAAAAAGTACTAAAATAATTTATATACTTAATGTACCCTTATAAAAAGGATATAAGTATATTAAATAAATAAATAAAAAAAGGAACAAGCAAGCAAATCATGAAAAACATAATAAATGAACAACAACAAGCAAATAAATGAAATTGAAACATTTAAAAAGCAATTAGTTGATAAAGAGGAAGAACTAAAACTAAAAATTTGACATGTGACAGGTCAACCTAGTGAAGACAGTTATTCTTCTGGTCATCAATGATACAAAAGACTAAATAAAAAATGAATGGATGAAGGCAAGTTAAGAATGGCAGTAGATCCTAATGAAACTAGAGAATGAGCTAAAAATTGTAAAAGAGTTTGATTTGACAGTATCACTATTGAAGAGATGTTAGAAGGGTTTATTGATTATTCGAAAGGTTTAGCAACAAATTGTTCTAGTCATATTGCAGAGTCAAGCAGAAGAGGTTGTCAACTTTATGATCAAAGAAAAGAATTCAAAAAGAGAATTGAAGGGTTTGAGAAGTATAAGGAGCAAGTTGAAAATTTGGAAACAAAACTTACAGAAATTTTATCAGTTTGACATAAGGAACAGGAAGAAATTAATACTATTTCTTGAGAAGACCAATTTCATTACTGAGACTTGGAAGATTTAAAAGAATTATCAGGCATAACAAAGAAGGAATTAAATAAGGTTGTCTTTGAAGTCATTGAGAAATTAGAACAAAGTGCTAAAGACTTAGCTGAAGCAATAAATACAGCTGAAGCATGAAAAAATTGACAAAAAGGTCTTTTGAATGATGAAATCAAAGAAAAATTGCTAATGCTCCAAAAGTCTGATAAAATGCTTGAAGAGGAAATAACAAAGAATGCAAAATTTAAAAAGAATTAGCCCAAATGATTGGAGATTTGAGGATGAAGCAAAAGAAAAAGAAGAATTAAAAACACAACTATATTTGGAAAGAAAACCCTTACCCTCTCTTCCTAAAGAAGTAGAAAGTAGGACTTTAAATAAACAAAGCATTTTCAAGCAATTAAAAACAAAAACAAAAGCCAAGGTTCAGCAGTTACAAAGGCTAGTTAAAAGAGAGAAACCTTGCAATCAAGAAATGGTTGCCAAAATAGAAATTTCAATTAAGTAGTTATGAAAGAACTACTCTACACAATCTTAGAGTTAGAAGAATGACACAGCAGCAATTCTACTTGTGGTTTCTGCCCTGGTTTGAAAAAAACAATTTGTCAAATCAGAACATGAAGCAAAGCAACTGGTGAAATGGTTGAAAGTGATAAAGCTTGTGAAAACTGTAAAGAGAAGTTTGAAAATGATGAATTGCCTAAGTGTGATTGTGGAAGGTTAAAGATAAAGATGTTAGCCGAAATGGTTTTGAAAAAATCAATTTCGGCAGGCAATTTCGGATTTACAATATTTTCATAATGATGGACATAAAAAAACCACCCAGAATTTTGGCTATTGAGTTAATAATTTTGAGTATAATTTCGGCAATTAATAAAAAATATTTCGGCATTTCGGATTCGGTGACGATCATTTACTATTACTATTACTAAGTGAAATAATTTCGGCTAACATCTTTAATAAGGACAGTTTGGTAATCAGTAAACCCTAGAATGGTATATTCCTTTTGATTGGCTAATCGAACTTCACATAGATTCTATAATGATTTACGTTTGTAATGAAATGATAATGACGAATTGATTGCAAAATTTATGTGTAATATAGGCGCAAGTTCATACATAGTAAAATTTCTTCCATCATATCAACAAAATGAAATTGTAACTGTAGAGAAAGGTCCTAGTTTCAAAATCACGGTTTGTTTTTTTAGTCTTACATTTTCATTTTGAAGGAATTAAAGGATCTACAAGACCAACAAAACTTTAGTAGTGGCTAAATGACATTGAACTGTACATTGCGATAATGTCTAATTTGATTAGAACGCGTCAATTATTTTAGACGCTCATCATCACTAAACTCATGATTTTGTGGATATAAGTTTTTTAAAGCAACAGTGATTTCAATTATAAAATTTATGGTGATGCTTATTTTTTAAATGATAATTCCACACGGCTTATATTTTTTCAGCACATATTGTTTGAACTTGAATGTTTGTGATTATAAAAAGATCAATAAATATCTTTATACCTATTCAATGGGTCGATCTTTTGCCATGCTTCATTTGGGATTTTTACAAACACATGTAGATACCGATTCGTAGTCTTGATACATTTTTAAACCAGAATCTTTATTAGTAATGTCTTGTACAATCAAGATCCTTTTCCTCTCTACCAAATAATAAAAAGAAGATTTGGACCTGATGAAACTGTTTGTCAGAAGGGATACCAATTACATATACAAATATCCGTAACTTTCAAATACACAATTAAAGGAACATCATTTAAGAACTGTTTATCAATTCCTGATTTGTCGAGTTCTAGTGAATTTAGTTTGGCTGCCAAAAATTTCCTGATTATTGGAGTTGTCAAAGATAGCACCTCGCTTATCCTTTGCCTTACAAATATATCCAGGCGGTTGCAATGAGCCAGCACACCTTGAACAGCAGTGACAACGAATTCTGTTTCTCAACGAATAACTGTTGTCTTTGTGTTTATACGAATTGGATATTTAATGCTAGTGTTATTATTGGCTTGTCGAGCTTCCATGAATTCATTGAAAATGGTCCAAAGAATGTAACTTTTTTCCAAAGAGCCAAGAGAATTTGAAGAAACCTGATATTTTTTTTTTCTTTTTATAATCGGCAAAAAACGCGAGATTATAATTAATTGATCGACAAAACTTGCGGATCACGAATTATTATTATAATGCCTGTGTCAGTTTTCCAGTAAACAAACGTTAAAATTACCCCCTTCTCCATAGGTTAATCATATTGTTCTTATTTAAAATTATTATTATTGTTGTTATTATTATTATTGTTATTATTAACAATGGTGGTTGATAATTTACCTTTGCTTGTTTAATGTGGAATAATTACTATTACTATCTATTATTACATCATTTCTCCTTAAATCCATAATTTTAGTGCCACTTATACGTATTAAAATTTTATTCGATAGTTTTATATTTATAGTAATAATAAAATTACGATAATTGGAATAATTCGATAAATTCAGAAATCTCATTCTTTAAATATATAAGTAGCCAATCCCATTCATTTTTCTGGAAATACTATCCTTTTATAGTAATAATAAAATCTTGATAAATTCATAAAATTTACTGTGCCGAACCTATGAATTTAACGAGCTTTGACTGTATTACTAATAATATTATCGATAAAGTTTTTTATAGAGTAAAACAAAATAATAAAGTGCTATTGGAATTTTTTAATCTTACTATTTTCGTTCTCATAATAATATAATAAAAAAATTTCTTTTGAACCCAAACCAATTTTGTGAGTATATTGATGATTTTTTTTTTTTTTTGGGAACCTGAATGCACTAAAAAAAAAACTTGCATATTTTTTTTTTTTTTTAAATAATAGAAATATTATTATTATATAATAATAATGTCTAATAATAATAACTCGGCTATAACAATTGTTAAAGATAATAATAATTGGAGGATACCAAATACATCTGAAAGCAGCAGTGGCTCTGTTACTACAACCACCACAACCAATAATCCAACCACCACAGCTATTATGAAATTAAAGGATTCTACAAAAACTGATCTTTCAACAACAAAAAGAAAAAGGCATTGGATAAATTATATATATACGCCAGAGGTTAAACATTTAATAGCTGGTGGAGTAGCTGGGGCAGTAAGCAGAACTGTTGTTAGTCCTTTAGAAAGAATGAAAATTTTGTTCCAAGTATGTATCGTAACGTGTGTATATACAATATATACACATCTAATATATATTTAAGGTTTAATATAATTATATACGTTTTATATATTCTTGTCACAACAAATAATGCCGTCATCATAAAGTAATAATTTATTTAAATAAATAAAAAAAAAATCAAAATTATATTAAAAAAAAAAAATATATATATATATATATATACACAAATCGAAAAAAATAAATAATAGTAATATAAAATATAATATATATATATATAAAAGGGTCTATCTAAGAGTCCATTTGGTTGATGTTTTTATAATAATTAATTAGTTCTTCTCTTTCATCGTCAAATAACGTCAAAAATATCATCAAAAAAATATCATCATCATCACTGGTCTTTCTCAATTGGATTTATTACTCATTTTGTTAGGTCCAAGGACCAGAACCTGCATCATATCAAGGGATTCGAGCAACATTGGTAAAAATATGGCAAGAAGAAGGATGGATTGGGATGTTGAGAGGAAATGGTACCAATGTTATAAGAATTGTTCCATATAGTGCTGTTCAATTTGCAGCATATGAAAAATATAAAAAAGTTAGTAAAAATATTATTTTTATTTATTATTATTATTCTTTTCCTAAATTATTATATATTAAAACAAATTTTATATAGTTACTTATAGAAGATGGAAAAACTGAACTTGACGCAACGCGTAGACTTTTAGCAGGTGCATTAGCCGGTATAACGTCTGTGACGTGTACATATCCGCTTGATATTGTTCGTACGAGACTTTCCGTTCAGTCTGCTAGCATAAGTGGGAAAAAATCCAATAGAAAGTTACCGGGTATTTGGTCTACAATGAAATCAATATATCGTAATGAAGGAGGTGTAACCGCATTGTATAGAGGTTTATCACCTACTCTAATAGTAATATTATCAATATCATTATATTATTCTTATTACTATTATTACACTATTATTACAATTATTAATATTAATTTTTATATGGTAATAGGGAGTTGCGCCATATGTAGCATTAAATTTTCATTCTTATGAAGTACTACGTAAATATTTTACACCATCTGATCAAAAATCGCCATCAGTAGGAAATAAATTGCTATCTGGAGCACTGGCAGGATCATTTGCCCAAACGATAACTTATCCTCTCGATGTTTTGAGGCGTAGAATGCAAGTAACAGGTTCGGAGTCTGTTGAATACAATTATAAAAGTACATGGGATGCAATTGTACAAACTATTTCCAAAGAAAGTTGGAGAGGTTTTTATAAAGGAATGTTGCCAAATTATTTGAAAGTTGCACCTGCAATAGGTGTTAGTTTTGTCACTTATGAAGCTTGTAAAGATATAATGGGTGAAATCTAAAAAAAATCTAAAGAAGCAAAAGGTGAAAATAAAAGATATAGATTTATATTATGTATTACTTAAATAATTTATTCATCATCATCATCAACATTTATCAACATCATCAACAACATCAACCATCAACATCAACATTATCATCGTCATCAACAACATTATTCATCATCATCATTATGTTGTAAATAAAAAATTTGGAAAAAAGGAGTTAAAGAACAACAATTGCATACATTTTATTAAAGAATTATTTAAAAAATTTTTTTATTAAATTACAAATGATAATAGAAATTATTATTAGGATTAATTATTAGTAATAGTAGTAACAATACTATTAGTAATCGTATCAAAAACTATAATAATAATGAATCATTGTCTATTTAATTTTTTTATTATTTATATATATACATAAATATATATAAATAAATCTTTTTAATTTTAACAAATAAAATAATATTAATGTTTAGTTTTTTGAAGCAGAACCTCTTCTAAAAGATAATAAAGAAGAATATTGATTATTGTTATTGATAGATTGTTGCCTTGAACCAGAATTTGAATGTTTAATATTATTATTGTTATAAATGTTATTATTATGATTACTATAATAATAATTATTATTATTAAAAGATTCTCTTAGATTAGAAGCAGAAGTTGATTTATATAAAGATGAAAATGAATTATTAAGCGGAGAAGAAGGTGACTGTGAAAATATTGGAGATGAAGTATCTAATAAATTTGAAGTGGAATATGATGCTTTTAAATTCGTAAAATGATTACCATTACTGTTATTATTAATATTATTATATAACGGTGTGGAAGGTGTCGTATAATACGGTGAAGAGGATAAAGATAGTAGTGGCGATGACGATCTAGAATTGTTTGAATCTTCATTGGACGGATTTCTAAAATAAAAATAAAAATTTTACAAAATAAGTAAATAAATAAATAATTAATATATTGGTAATGATAATGACAAATTTACCTAAATCCATTCCAAGATTGTTTTTTAGAAGATGGTTCTTTATTATTATTAGAAAATATAGGACTAGATACATTATTATTATTATTATTATTATTATTATTATTATTATTATTATTGTTATTATTATTATTATTATTATTATTATTAGTATTATTATTATTAGTAATATTATCATCATCATCATTATTATTTATTGAAATTATTGGTGATGTTGGTGCTGACTGATGATAATAATAATTATTATAATTATTGTTGTTGTTATTATTGTTAATACTGCCACCACTACTATTGTTATTACTATTATTATTATTCATATTATTAATATTTGAATTTATTATTGATGTGTTAGTATTTCCAGGTATAATTCGCCTTCTTTCATCTCTGTTAGCTATATTTGTAGTCATTACACCATTTGGTAATGAAGGTGAAAAACCACCAAAAGTGGGGCTTTGTATAAAAGAATCTGATGATGGAGAAAAAGGACCGAATTTTTTATCGACAACTTTATCAAAAAATAGGTCAAGCTTTTCGGATACGATTGAATTTTGTTCGAAATGTGTTTGTGCTAATGTACACTTTTAATAAGATAGGATTATAGTGGAGAAATAGAAAAAAGATCAGATATGTAAAAAATGTGTGCGCGTGTGTGTGTGTATATATATACAAAAACTATAAAGCTTACTAAATTCACACAATCACCTCCATATTCATCCACTATACTATATCTTCTTTGACGACCTGTTAATTCTTGTTTTACAAGGTCGGCTTTAGTACCAACGACTAATATTGGAACACTAGCATATCTTTCACCAATTTTCACATCACAATCAAAATCTATTGAAAAATCATATAAGGATGTTAATAAAAACAATGATGATGGCAATTATTATCGTAACTAAGATAATAAATCGTTATTACCATTTTTCTTTATATTATTATTGTTTGATTTCTCAGTATCTTTATAAGCTTCAGAATTCAAAATTTCTACAACCCATTTCCATAAATTATAATAAGATTTTCTATTACTAACATCATGTACTAAAATAATACCATTAATCTGATGATAAAACATGTTACGAGATGATTTATGTTTAGAAGTTCCACCTACATCAATAAATTCAACTAAATATGATTTACGTGCACGAGGATGTGTATAGAACTAATGATGATGATGATGATATTGTTATTATTAATATATATAAATAATTCTATATATAAAGTAATTGCTAACGATAATAATCTGGACTGACCTTCACATCTACATTACAACCAATTGTCCAAGTTGGGTATCTTAAAGCTTCGTTATAACAAAGCATATGAACAAGACTAGTCTTTCCCTAAAAAAAAAGAATGGGAATAATTCAAAATAATTTTCTCAAGTCCTCTAATAACAATAATATTTTTACTAGAGTTACAAGAAAAATACTCACCACGCCACTATCTCCCACAACAACTATTCTTATCCTATCATAATGTTCCATCTCTCAAATCAATTAAATTAAAAGATCCAAATCTTTTGTACTTTTGTGTGCTATATACCGTGAGGATGTGGAATATGTAAAAACTTTGTGATGCGTGACACAAATTTATTTATTTGAATTTTATTTGTATTTTTGTTACACAATTCGTCATTAACCAATTGCAAATAACCTTCACCATTTGATAAATAAATAAATAAAAACATTTTTCTTTTTTAAATTTTCCTGCATAAAAAGTTCTCACATCTAATTCATTTCTTCTTTTTTGTCTTTAATCAATCTCTATTATAAACCTAATTTCTTTATTCCTTCCTTCTTTTATAGTTTATCTTTTTATCTCTTCAATCATTCAATTTATTTCACTCATTCGGGAAGCTTTATTCATTTTCAAAGCTTTACATGCATATATTTACTTCTTTACGTCCTTAAACAAACACATGCTTTAACTTCTCTCTCACTCTCGCTCACCATTTTAACACAAAAAAAAATGAATAGTTTCAAAAAATTGCGTAAAATTCTTGGACATTTAAAACCATCAAATAATGAACTTTATGTTTATATGCCATTATCAGATAATAAAAATGGTTACATAATGGAGTATTATTACCAGAAATATTATCAGCTATTTTATTATAAATATAAAGAGAGTGAATCTGGAACATTGACAAAATATGGTTATTTGATTGTTGATGCAGATACCACTAATAATAATAACAATAATAATAATGGTAATAATAATAGTAACAATTCTAGTAAAAATCAACGTAATTATAGTAACAATAGCAACAATAACAGCAGTGCCAGTGTTAATAAATCACTTTGGTCGAATAAAGACAAAGAATGTATTTTTTATCAAACAGTAGCTGATAAAACTCAAATTGATTTAGAGAATCGATGGATGGAATTATTGAGAAAAAAAGAAAGAATAGATATCAAAGTAGTTGATGGAAATGATAACAATGGATTTAGTGGTGAATATCAAGAATGGAATCAATTGATGCAACATAATAATGATTTCTTAATATCAGATTGTATACAACGTAGAAGATTAGACGAAGTTTTCGGAAATCTTGATTCTAATCGTGATAATAATGATAATAATTATTTAAAAAATATAGGAGTAAAACACGAAAAATTAAAATTTGACGAAATTAATAATTCCGGTAGTGTCAATTTTGATAATTCGAAATCACCAAGTTTATCCGCAAATTACCAATCTTTTACAAAATCTTCATCGTCACCAACAACTAATTCACCACTGACATATCCAGCACTAACACCATCATCGCCTTCAGCACCTCCAACACACTCATCAATTTCACCACCAATGTCACCACCAATGTCACCCAAACTGCATCCTTCTTCTACTTATTTAAGTGAAGGAGCTTCAAATTTGCAAAATTTATCTACGCCAAGTAAAAATCGCACGATGGAAAATCAAGGATCAAAAAAAAGTTATAGAAAATCTAAATTCAGTAGAAAAGAACCTGATGTGCTTGTATATGATCCTGAAGACAATTTAGTTTTTAAAGATTGTAAATGTGATCATTGTATGTGTTTGGTATAATTTATTAACGTAAAATTTATAAAATAATTACATTTATGTAGATAACAATTGTAAAATATATTTTTATATTATGATAATATAAAAATAATAATAATAAAAATAATGAATGAATTTAAGAGCATGTGACATCGCCTGAAATTTTTATATGTTCTGCGGATCTTCCTATTGGCTGATCTGAAATTTTCATATGGCCCGAGTAACACAATTGACAAAAGCGAGTTTGTCATTATCCGTTTATCAAATCAAAACTAAGAATCAAAAGCGATAAAACAAATTTATTATTTGACATTTACAACGTATAAGGTAATCTTCTAAATCATTCAAACATAACGTTTGATTGGCCATTCATTTTCATTTTACAAAAATTTTTTCAGAAAAATAAATAAAAAAATGGATTCAACAATATTAGAAAAATATTTTAATGAAAATGAAAGATTATTAAATACAGAGGATTTTTATGATGTAAAAATATATGTAGGCGTAGAACCAAACATAAAAGAAATCCATGCACATGCATCCATCATATGTGCTCATTGTCCATTTTTTAGCATTGCATTAAGTAATGCAACAAAAAAAAATGGTTATTATATTGTTAAAAAAGTAAATATTAATGAACAACCTTTTAAAAATATTCTAAAGTAAGTTTAAACTAACTATTATTGTATTATTTATTTATTTTTATGATTGAATATATTATTTAGTAATATATATTTATTATTTTTAAAAGATTTTTGTATACTTGTAAAATTGAATTAGACAATTTTACTGGAGTTGATGTATTAGAAATATTAATTGCAGCTGATGAACTTGGTCTTGAATCACTTTATGAATATACAATGAATTACTTTATTAAAAAACATGAAGATTATGTAAAAGCAAGTCCAGTTAAAATTCTACAATTGATTTATTCTAATGAAAAATTTAAGGAATTGAAAAATACCTATCTAGAAAAATTTTGTGAAAAATTATTTCAGTCAAATGATTTTGAGTCATTGGAAAAACCAATTTTATTGGAAATTCTCAAAAGAGATGATTTTTCTGTTGATGAGATAGTTATTTGGGAAAATGTTCTTAAATGGGGATTATCAAAACATCCAGAAATCAATAATAACAATCTTAAAAATTGTTTATCACAAAATTTTGTTGATTTAGGCAACACAATAAAGGAGCTTATTTCTCTAATAAGATTTCAAGATATTTCTAAAGATGATTTTTTTGATAAAATTGTACCTTATCAGAAACTTCTTGATGAGTTTCTCTGGAACAACCTATTACAACTCTATGTAGTTCCTGATAGACAACAACCATTAAACTTTTTACCATCAAGAAATATAAAACTTATTCCAAAGCTTGAATCATTGACAATTAATGACAAGCTTACTTTACTTTTTGCAAGTTGGATAGATAGAAAAAACCCACGATATAATTCACTCAGAGAAGTTAAATATGAATTTAAACTTTTATATCGCAGTAGTAGAGATGGTTTAAGTGCAAATATCTTTCATCAAAAGTGTGATAATATCGACAAAACTCTTGTAGTTGGTAAAATACAAAATTCAGATCAAATAATTGGTGGTTATAATCCACTTAATTGGAATGGAAATGGTTATAAAACAACAATAGATATTTTTATATTTAATATAAGTAATAGAAATGATATCAATACTACAGAAGTTAGCTATATTAAAAATAATGAATTTTATCAGAATGCAATTTATTGTGATTCTTCTCTTTTACCTAATTTTGGTTATAGTCAGGATTTTCTATTTACAACAGATAGTCTTATTCGTAATAATCCATCTCCACATGCTTATAATAACATCAATATAGTAGATAAAAGTAGTTTTGATGAATTGGAAGTTTTTCAAATAATTGATAAAAAATAAATATTCATTTATTATTACTACTGTATTTCTTAACAAATGTGATTTGATTTCGCATCTTCATGGTTCAAAGTGAAATTTATGCCACACTTGTCAGCATAATAAACTGGATATTTCTATGCTAAAGATACAAAATTGAAATTAATATACATAAATCTGCTGCCATGGAATCCAAGGTTAAAAAAAAAGAACCTAGAAGAAAGCAAAAATAATAAACACCAGAAAAGAAAGCAGAATGAAACACCTGTTAAAAATGTTTAGAAGGAAAATAATATGGGTATGGAAGCTTAATAGGGAAGAGTAATATCTATTTTTTAGCGACCTAAATACTAATATTAAAGCAATTAGATTTACCACCAGCCTTTTATTCTCTCTTTGTATACGTATATGAGAAAAATTGCATATAAAAGATAAATAATTCAGATTCATAAATGCTTTATTAAATAAAGAAATAATATTTTCCATCATTCCTCAATCATAAGTCACTATTATCCTTTTTTTTATGACACGTCACATGGTGCCTGCTGATGTTTGATGCTTTCCTCAAATATTATGTCTCAAATAAAGGTTTAAGTGATAAAAGAGATTTTTTGTTGTAGGCATGTGCCATTTTTTCCGCAACACATTGTATATTCTGCTGCAATCTTTTCAAAGCCTTCATTTTACAATAAATATTTGGAAGGTCATAAATTTTTGGAATTTATTTCTAGCCAGGTTAAGTAAATGTATCAGAATTTCAAAAAGCTTTGGCCATATATGTGACCCAAATTGCTTCCTGATGTCAAAATTTTAATTAAGGCATATATGCAGAACATTGAATTAACAACAATAATAATTTCGACCATGTTGGAACAATTTATGCTGCACGTATTAGTATAGTAATAGTGGCTGATTCTATTTTACTTTTCCGAGCACCGTTAATAATAACTAGCTCACTAGTTAAGTCATAACAACTCTTCAGAAAAGGATTAATTTCATACCTTTCAGTATGATTACAATCTTTAAATGTTTTAACTAGAGTCTACATGCGAGCCTAATCATTGATTTGAACCAACCATCTCTTAAATTGATAATTAAAAAAAAATAAAACTTTGGCCGAATATTTCTAAAATCAATTGTTCAAAAATAAATATGATAATACACGCCTCGAATAAACATTACATTGTTTTGAAATTTTTTTGTAAGCAAGCATAAACGAATCCTTCGAAAAGTTTTAAGCTCAAAATGTCAAAAGCCAATGTGGCGAAATCATCAGTCTTTTTGTATATATCTAGAATTTTTGGTGTTCGTAGAACGATAGTGTCTCATGCTATTAAAAAAAAAAATCTTTATGAAAAGAAAAAAATCGAATTGAACATCCTAAATTAACAAATAAGAAAATTTCTTGAAGTCCTTGTCTTTTGCTAGAATTTTTATTTTTGACATAATTATTTAACACAAACACAATATGTTATTACATATCTTGCTAACGTGACAGAAGACCCCATCAGATTCAAATGAAGTAATCTTTTCCAAGCATGTTTTATTTGATAAAATCAAAAAAAAAAAACATAGTTAATATTCGCTAATCATGCCATTTCTTTAAATTAAAGGATTTAAAGAAATCCTAATCTTTTTTTTTTGAATAAATCAATTAAAATGTTTATTATTGATGTTACATTATCATTCAAACATATTTTGAGAAGCCTAGTTTTAATAATGCCGTGATAGATATAACAATTAACTTTTTTGTCATCAAATTATCAACACAAGGAGAATTGTTTTAAAAATAGCTTCAAGTAATTCATTTCCCGATTTTCGTAATAGGTCGGTATGATTGGTAGAATTATTTAATGAAATTTTCTGTAATTTTTTCATTACTAAATTTGGGACTTGGAATTGGGACTTTGTCATTTGAGTTTGGACGGCAAGTATAGTTCTGCGGACATATTAGTAACTGCACTCTATAATGAAATAATGAACAAAGGCAGAAAAATTACATATAGGGACGGAGGGTTTATTGTAGAGAGAATGAACTGTATCCTTATTTAAAAATAAATTATGATGTTCGTGTTTTAATTCTCAACAATGTATTAATTATATATATATATTAATTATTTTCACAAAACACCAAGTAAAATTCAGGAAGTTACTGCGTTTTTGTTTAAAACTTCCACGAAGAATTGTTGTATATAGAACAAATAGTATACAACTCATTTAGTTGTTTTCAAAAAACACCGTTTTTTAATAATGCTCCAAATTTACATACGAGTAAAACTAATATCACTTACCTTGAGAACTAACTCATTTAGCAAAGAATTAAAAACAAGCAATTTTCTTTTGGTATTTAATAATATGGTTATTATTTGCTTAAAATTTATAATTTTAAGAACTAAGGGATTCGCAAGCTATCTTTAATATTAATATTAATATTAATATTAATAACAAATGACCTTCCGACAATGATTGGATATTATATGCTGAAAATGGATTTTGTGTGTTACGAAAACTAGTTTTTCGGTGTAGCTACGACGCGGGAATTATTTATCCTCTATATTTTTTCTATTCAGATCGGCTCATTTGTGCTATATTACAATCAAAGATTATAATAAATCACGACAGAATTTTATCCCAAAAATTTATTTGTTGCTTTTTTCTTGCTAATAATATTAAAATAAGAAGGGAAATTACAAAGCATTGATTTAAAATGGGTATTAAAATTATCGGATTTAATCTTTCACCTAATACTCTTAAAACACTTTGTGCCCTTGAAGAATTGGGTATAGAATACGAATATGAACAGCCCGAATTCTCAGAAATTAAATCACCTGAATATCTCGTAAAAAAAAATCCATAGTAAGTAATCTAGTTATTAAAATTTTCTTCTTCCTAAACTTAAAAAATAATAAATCATCATCATATTTAATAGTGGGAAAGTTCCAGTAATGATTGATGATGGTTTTACAGTCTACGAATCACGTGCAATTTGTCGTTATCTCCTAAAAAAGTACCAAGGAACCAAAAATACTACAATTCTCATTCCAAACGATCTACAAAAGGCCACTTTGGTTGAACAATACTTATCAGTTGAAAGCTCAGAATTTGATACACCAGCATCAACTATTATTTATCAAGAAATTATTCTCAAGTTTCTGGGTAAAGAAGCTAATACTGAAAAGGTCAAAGAAGCAAAAGGAAAACTTGAACAGACATTGGATGTCTATGAAAAAATACTCGAGGGAAAAGATTATTTGACTGGTGAATATTCTTTGGCAGACCTTAGTCATATACCTGTTATCGCTGCTTGTATTGATAAAACTAGCTCTAAAGATATATTTTACGATGCTAAGAGACCCAATGTCGTTAAATGGGTGAAAAGACTTTATGAAAGTCCTGCTTGGAAACAAGTAGTAGCAAAACATAAAATTAACTAATGTAATTCATTATCATTTATTTTTAAAATTTTATCAAAAATAAACTGTTTTTTATTATTTTAACCCCATTGTGCACAATTACTAAAGTTATAACCTGATTTTGGTGGTGGCTTTAAGGAAGGCGGTAAATTTTTTGGTAGACCAGATGGAAGTTTATTTTCCATTAATTTATTCGAACTTTTCTTTTTCGTATTTTTTTTAAAACTTAATTTATCATTCTGATTTTGATTATTATTATTTTCATAATATTGTTGTAAAAGATGGGGATTTTGTGCTAAATATACTTTTAAATAACAATTTAAAAATATATTAATATTATTTATAAATACTATATATAATTTTGATAACTTGCGTACAATAATTACCGTTTGGATCTATGATATTAAAATCAATTCCATATGGCAAATGTGAATATTTACAACTTAATCCAAATTGACAAAATCTTGATTCATTAAATTTTTTACACTGTGGTCTCTTACTATTCTCAATCAATAACTCCACAGGATCTAATAATAAATAAATAGATTTATATGAATTATTATATATCTCTAATGATATTTTATTATTACCGTCACTACCTTTATAATAATCATAATGTATTTTCACATTATTTTGATGTTTTATTCCTTCAAGATGTTTTTTTCTTGATTCCGAATTATCAATAAATGAAATATCACAATAATCACAATAATCTAATCGTTATTAGAAAAAATCAAATGCAAAACTGTCAATATGAAACGAATGAATGAATAATTAGAATAAACGAATAATTCGAATAAAATGAACAAAACGAACAAAATGAATAAACCGTTAGGATTTATTAGTTTAAAACAAGAAAAAATTATTCTTACATTTCTTCCCCATTTTAAATTTTAGCTAAGATTATATGTTACACTTGCTTGATGATGATGACGCAACAATTTAATCTGAAGATCCATATATATATATGTATATATATTATTCTATTTTTTTTTTTTTTTACAATTTCAAGGAAAAAAAAACATGGAATGTCTTATCGGAATAGTAGGCAAAGATTTTGCATTGACAGCGACTGATGCTTCATCTTTACGCTCAATTACTGTTTTGAAATCTAATGAAGATAAAACTCGTGATCTTAATAAGCATGTCACCATGGCATATTCTGGTGAACCAGGAGATACAATCAACTTTGCAGAATACATTCAAAGGAATGTTCGTTTTTACGGGATCAAGAATGGGATTGAGTTGACACCAAAAGCTGCAGCTAATTTTACCAGAAGAGAATTAGCTACTAGTATAAGAAGTAGAGTAAGTGATTCATAAATTTTTCTCATTTATCATTGTTATTATTTATATATATTTATTTATTTTTCCTTGTAATTAATTAAAAATTATTTTCTTCTTCAATCAACAATTAAATTAAAAAATGATTTTTTAGAAACCATATGCTGTTAATCTTTTAATAGCAGGTTTTGATATAACCTCATCAAAACCAGATCTTTATTGGATAGATTATTTTGGTACTTCTACAAGTGTACCATTTGCAGCTCATGGATATGGATCATATTATTGTCTATCCATCTTGGATAGATATCATCATTCAGAATTGACACTTGAGGAAGCAAAATTGTTGATTAAGAAATGTATAGATGAATTGAAAACTAGATTTATCGTTAATCTTGGCAATTTCAAGATAAAGGTTGTGGATCAAGAAGGAATAAAAGAGATTCAAATTAATTAATAATATTTTATTATTATATTTATATTTGTATGATATTATTATTATTAAAATAAATTTTTTTTTTTTGAAAACAATTCAAAACTCTTTTTCCAAAAAAAAAAATAAATTAGTAGAAAGAAATCAGGACAAAAATATCAAATAAAAATAAAAATTCAAAGAAATCAGTATAATTATTTTCACATGAATTTTATACTCATTTTTTGGCACAAATTGGTAACAACAATAAAATAAAAGCAATTTAATGTTTTAATAATATGATAAATGCCATCATGATTAATGATAAGTTTGTTTGTTATATATATATATATATCCACATATTGTGATTCTATGCATTCCAAATCAGAAGTTTCTGTCCGAGGTCCTATTGAATAACCTGAATGAAATACTTGAATCAATAATTCGAATTAAAAGATTGACCATTCAAATAAGAAATTGTATTTCTATTACGAATAGAACCCTTAGTCATCATCATCACCAGTCTCTGAAATTTTAGGATAATGGACTAAATTATTTGATAATATCTCTCTTTCAATTATCTTTTAGTATTTGTTGATTGGAATTAGCAATCAAAGTATTTAAAGCTTTGATACGTCTTACTGATTTCTAACAAAATAATAGAAAATATTTAAATGAATGAATTTTAATAAAAAATATCGAGTATTTGCATGTGTTTGTCTTGTATGTTTTTTCTTCCATTATCATCTAAAGTTGCCAGGTATTGGTCATACCTATGACCATGTAATCTCCGACTGATATGTTATAATAGTCTTTCATTTGTGAATATATTTTATCAACTAATGATTTGAATCCAGGATTTGGTTACCTATCACTAGAGACTAGCTTCAACAGATTTTTACATTGCTCTTTTTGAAATTAATGTAATAGATATCTAGATGTACATGGTTTACTTACACAACTTTTTGTCTTATTTTTTGATAAAGCAGAAGCATTATGATTATTTGATTAGATAGTTATCCTTGACTTTTTGTGTTAAAGCTTATACCTCTCCTTGTATAGTAAGGATACTGGCTGCAACTTTTGATGATGGTTGCTACCATCTTTGCGTCATATAAAAATGATTGCAACCGCCTTTATGACAATTTTGTTTCCTATTTTTGAATTGCAACATGGAACACTATTGTATAGCTCTCGTTTGTTTTTTAATTCTACTTCCCGATTTCCTAATGTCTAATGAAATTTAGAATCCGGCAAATTCATTTTTGATTTTTATTGCTGTAAAAACAAGGTAGGATGATTAGTATATTCTCCTTATCAGCAATATTTTCATTTCTATATTTAATTATTCCATTTACATCATTAAAAAAAACTTATTATTATTTATCGACATTATAATGTTTAATTAGACCAATAATCAATGGCGCGTTGAAATTTTTCAACACCTTGTTCCTTTTTCAAAATACTTCTAATTGTACTATAATTTTTGGATTCCATGGTAGATTTAATATAGATTAATTTCATATTAATTGTTTTTGTATAGGGGCAATTCTACATATCGCTCAAGAAAAAAAACAAACGTGACATTATAAAGTTAATTGTGATGATAATAACTACAGTCAACCCCCTCTAAGTACACCCTCCTTGGGAACATATCACTATTTCTCATGAACGTGCATTTAGAAAGGTATGCATTTAGAGGAGTTACTATAAGGGAGTGAGACATGGCCTGCATTTAGAGAGGGTGCACTTGGAGGGAGTTGACTGTCATTGGATCCCTGAAATACTTAATATAAATGTTCACTTTGGTTTTGTAAAAATTAAGATTGCATTCCAAAGGAACTTATATACGAAAAGTGGGTATGATTTCTAATCCAAAAATATTCCAGGTGAAGAGTTGCGCATTAACTCAAAATTGGTTTTTTCACATCATGGTCCCTTTCTATTGATAAGCCCCCGTTTGGGGTTTATAATCATTTTAAGCGCGCTTCGATGACAGATTCAACTTGTTTGTCAGTTTCTGATTTTTTTTAGGTTCTTGTTCATCAGACTCATTATTCACATCGAACATCTAAATGACAGTATTTTTTCTCTTGCTCTAGTTATCTATAATACTTACTCATGAATTTCTTTATACCAACTTTTCCGTGTTGTTTGTATTGTGATGGATTCATTTTTTATAATGTTAGTGATGGATATAAAAAAAAATTTATTTAAAACAATTATCACAAAGCAGGACCCCAGGTTATTATAGTTGAACTACAATACTGCTACGTTGTTAAACTTTACACAATATCTAACGCGTGGTTTTTCAAAGTTAATGCCTTCAAGTATCATAGTAAAAAAGCAGCTTTTAAAGAGAGGAACCAAAATCACATGAGATGTGTATGTGTGACAGGTTCAAAAGTACCCATCTTTTGAAGTCATGCGGTAATATACAAAAGTAAAAGGTAGCAGAAATAACAAATAACACTTAGTTGTATATAATGGATAATCATGTATTCTGATAAAGTTTTGCACCCATAGCTTTTAAAATGGATCCAAGCTGGAAAAATTTAATTCCAGATCGGAGTCATCTCGGAGCTTTAATTTCAGATGATGAATCCGTCAAAAGGAGAACTAGGAAATGCATTATCTTGTTAGAAAGAAGATATGTCATTTATTAATGATCAATGATTATTTTTTATTTTTTATAAAATATCCTAAATGCTTTATTGATATAATTGGTGATTTCGCGTTAAATACGTCGTGTTAATTAAATTCATCGTATTCTTTCGTTAAAAAACTGCTTTTGGTGGAAACACCAAAATGCAACATTTGAATATTGGAAATTGAAAATTATTTCAGGGCTCCAATATTTAGTTTTTCTCATCTTCGGTAATAAAGGCTAATCTGACTAGTTTATCCCAAGGATTTAAAATTTCGGGGGGGGGGGGGGGGGATTACGTGGCTCTGAATGAAGTATATTGACTTTTTCATTGCTGTCTTTATAGAATAATGACTAAATATCTAGAATTCTTGGCCTTCATAGAGCAACAGTGTCTCGTACTATTTATTAAAATGTCGAGACGAAAGTTACTAAATTAATAAATAAAAAAATTGTAAAGAAAATATCCATGAATTATTCAGGTAAAATTTTGCACAGTAAATATTTTTCTCGTGTTCTTGGTGCAAGCTCTTGTAAATGAAGTAAAATAACAAATCGGTATCGTGAGAGAAGAAATTGAACTCTATTATTTGGAGCGACGAAAGCAGATTTACGGTATATAAAAATGACGGACCAGGGCGCGTCTGGGAACTCATGATGCCTGGTGAACATGAAATTTGGGAGTGGTTTTTCGGGAAAGATGGTGAAAGCAGAGACTAAATAAGAGTCACTAGTTGATAGAGTCTTTGATAGGAAGGTTATTTGTTTCAAGGTGACAATGCCTGAAAAAATTGTTTGAAATTTGTACACTACAAACAATATTAAAGTATCGCCCAATTGACCAAGTTAGTCACCTGACTCGAATTAAATTTAACAATCATGGTCAAAGTTGGAGAGTAAAATGATGTCCAAGGAATATGAAAAATGTTAGATCCCGCATTCATGAAATTTGATCGAGGATATAATCTTTACTTTATTTGAAATTTCATGTATGATTGTTTTCAACAATTAATTTTGATCATTATTTTTTTTTTAATAAAAATGTTAAAAGAGATGATTCTGCTACATAATAAATGAAATGTTTATGATTTCTTTTTAAGGTCATTACCATCTTCTTCTTCTTCTTCTTCACCAGTAGTTTCAGCCAAGATGTTTTTTGGCTGTGTCTGCTTATAAGCTTTGTTTTTTTAAAAAAAGTATTAATTAATATAGTATTAACATTAATCATATAAATCTCATTTCAACATTCAACTTACCATTTCCAATCCATTGTGGATCGCCTAATTTTTTAAAAAATGTGTGCGTGTATTAGTTTTTTAATGATGATGTTAATTTTATAAATTTAAAAAAATTGTACATACTCTCGGAAACTTCGGCAAATTTTAATAATGCTTCTCGTGGATCGACATCTTTAATTAAAATCAAATTCAAGTATTAAATAACTAAATAAATAAATAAACCTTGATTAGGGGAGAGAATTTTTATAAAAGTAAATGAACATACCTCTTGTAGTATCTTTGATTAACTCTTTCATAATATGTTGAGTTAAACTGCTACCAATCTTGCCTCCTTTTCCGGGTCCACTAACAGGAAGATCTTTATTTAAAAGTAACAGAGGGTAAATAAACAAATTATAACCAAGCTTTTCTGGTAAATCAACCAATAAAAATAGTATCTACCGGGTCTTTTTGAAGCGACAGGATCTTTACGCAGTTTCTCTCTTTTCCTCTTTGTTGATTTGGGTCTGTCATCTCTGAATGCTGACAATGCATGTGGCGTAATAATTGGTCTATTTATTTCACAATCATCTATTGCTCTCTTCTTAGGTCCTTTAGCAGCACATAACTTAGCACCTCGTGTACTAATTCCGTGATCATAAAATACATTAACTGACCCATCTGAACTACCTGTAAATATCTATAAAAATAGCAAAATTTGAAATCATTCCAACTATCTATTACCTATATAGAGGGATAATATCACATAAATAATTACTTGATTTATTTTAGAATGCCATAAAGCTCTTATCACACTAGACTCTGTAACATCTATTTAAATAATGTTTTTTAAATGATTATGTATAATAATTAGAAATTTATTATAACTAACTAATTCCACATTTTGTAAAATTAAAGTTTGGTTTTAACACATGCCTAATGAATGAATAATCTCAAGAGATTCACGATCCATCATAACTAACTTTCCATATCCTTCATTCTTTTTTACTGCAACACCTTTATAAAAAATTAAAGATTTAATTTTTTTAAAAAATTTGGAAAAGTGCTTATGAATATATAAAATGATATAAAAATCTCACCCGTTATTATCAATTTCTCGTCTGGACTAAATATTACATTAGCTTCAGGATGAAAGATTGCAAGATTTTTAGCTTCAGCTACAGAATTTTTAAAATTACGTATATCCCACACTATAAAGGGAGAAGTTTTTTAAAATTGTGATTTTAATATAATTATCTAAATAAATATCAAATATAAATATAGTTGTACCTTTTACACAATCATCACCACCTCTGGTTACTATTGTCGAATTATTTCTTGAAAATAATATAGATGATGTTTCACTATTAGGTTGATGAGCTTTCTCAATCGTCTAATAATTTAAGTTTGGCTATTGAATCACTTGAAAGAAACAAAATAAAGGCAAAAATTAAAAATATAATAAACTTACATGAGACGGTCTTACAAATGGACCTTTTGTTCCCCACAAAAACAATGAACCATCAAGAGCAGCTTTAAAAGAAAAAAATTTTATTAGATAATCAATTAAATAACTTCCAATTTTCTAATATATATATATACCTCCAGCCAAAAATCTAGCATCTGGACTATAACATGCTGCTGTTATATTACTTCGACCACCTCTTTGCTTAGACTTATGAACCAGAACATTTTTTTGTTTTCGTTTATTTTCAACATCCCATATTCTATCAAAAAAAAAATTTGTTTTTCATTAAATAAAATAAAAAAAATAATCTTTATTATTTAATCTATCTGCCAATCACCTTATTGTGCCATCAGCAGATGCAGTAAAGAATGTTTTCCTGTCGTTTGGATGCCAACCTCCAGACGTTAAACTCGTTACATGACCACTATTTTTATCAATTATCTTTCTATTAATAATAACAACGATAATGACGATGATATTTAAAAGAGTAATTAAATTTTACCTTGTATTTCGCATATCTCTTATATAGGGATCACCTTTAATGTATTCCTCACTAAAATAATCAACGAAAAGAAAGGTATGGTAAAAAATACAAAAAATGTCATTAAACGTTTAAAAAAAATATATAAAATAATTCCTACATCTCAAAACCATCACGGTTATAAAGTTTTGGTTGAGAAGAACCTGAAATTATTAAAAATTGATCACCACTCAAACTATACTCCAAATGATGTATCTATAAAAAAATATTTTATTTTTTAGATATATCACGTTCAATTATAAAAGATAAATGAACTAATGAATACTTAATACAACTGATTACTTGGTAATCCCCACATGGTTTAATGGTTCTGAAAGGTTTTAATGTAGAATCCATTCCAGCAAAATCCCAGAATTTAACTTCATAATCAAAACCTCCAGTAATAAGACGCGCACCTGCAGGATCGAGGGCCAGTGCAGTAACGGCCTAGGTAAAATATCAAATATTATTTTTTATTAGAATGTGAATAATAAAAAAATCATTTACAAAATAAGTGAGACTTTTTAATTACCTTATGGTGGTCATTCAATTTAATTCTATTTGAAATAGGTAAAGTATCAAGAATACTTTCTTCCGCAACGTTATCATCTTCTTCTTCATCTTCTTCACTTTCTGCTAATTCGTGGTGTAATTCTAAAGGTTTTTCTATTTCACCGCTTACATCCTTATTATGCAAGTTTTGTTTTTTTGATAACATTGTCAAAAAAATTAATAATAATAATAAATAATCGAAATTTTTACTATGTCACATTTGATCTACTTTACGATTTTAAATTAGCTGAGAGAATGGATTTTGGCTTTTGAGAAATTTCTTGGGCTATAAAATGTTATATTCGAGCAATCCATCGTATTTATTAATAATTGAAAATCAATGAAAGAATGTGTTTGAATCATACTGTCGAAGATTGATGTTATAAATTCAGGGCTCAAAAATTGACATTCATTTTTGGAAGTTGTTTATCTGTGCAAAACCTTTAAAGGGTTATTTTCTTTGCCTAGGTTCCTAGTGCTCTTTATGCTCTTTAAAAAATTTTTTTTGCGAAGAAGACAATTCCGATATACAAATACTATGGAAAGGCGTGATGAACAATGCTGGAGGGATGATGAATCTTTACTCTTTCATAAATCGTCTTAAATAGGAATTAGAATATAATGTTACAGTTGATGAAGTTTCAACGGAAACTGCTTTAGATAAAAATTATGAGACAGTTTAAACAAATATTACTCTTAGAATGGTAATATGGACAATACCAGCTTTATTTACTCTACGGTATTAGGTTTTTCCACAGAGTCGACAAAGACTTTAGGATTCTCAAAATACCCGTCACTTTCTACCATTTCACAAATTAAAAGGAGATGCTCAGCAACGAGCTGATTCAGGAAGTAAAAGCAGATATAAGTAAGTGCCAAGATTTTTCATCCCATTTTTTAATTTAATAAAAAAATAATTATTATTGATGCTAGTGAATTCTTCTTTCTCTTTTGAATTCAACTTCAAATAAAAAAATGTCTATAATTGATTTATTTGAAAAAAGAAATAATACAAGATGATGACATTGATACAAAAATTGACCGGTGAACAAAAATATAAAAAAAACATATAGTTTCTACTCGTGTCATCTCTAATGAAACAATTTTCACAAATTTTTACTAGGAGCAAAGAAATTTAAATAATAACTTCGCTTTATTAAAAAAAAATTTTCTGATACAATCATAGACGAGACTCTACCATTAAATGTAAAACCAAGCATAGATAGTTGTTTAAACATTTGCCATCTCTAATACGTTAATACCTGCAGAGTTTACTAAAGAAGTATTTCTTTAAATTAAATTTAATTACAGATAAGTAATTTCTTACTCTATTATGAATAAAGGCTATCATTTATCCTTATAATCAATTCATAAAACGTTTATAACTTTTTCTAATGTAATGGAATCAGATGTAATCATGGCACATTAAAAGCAATAGTAGTAGGCAGCAGTAGCAATAGAAATAGCAGTAGAACGGGGGTGAGATGACAGTGGTAGTGGTAATGGTAATATGGTAATATAGGAATAAACTCGTGTATATATATTTTAAACTAAATTTTTTATTCGCTGTGATCAACGTTACAAATTCCATATAAACCATATACTACTGTATTATGTAAATCTTGTTTTTCCCTAAATTTTCTAATTTTGGTATATATAAACTTAAATTTTATTTTTGTCACCAATAAAATTAAACTTCCGCCATGCTACATCGAATTTCTACCATGCAATCTATCTTATCAAAAAAAATTTGATGATCAATAATAATATGGATGGGTTAAGCTGGCCAAGTAAACAAACTTAATGATATAATGTTTATACTTACATATAGATTATATGTTGACATTAACATAATTTCATTATTGCTAAAAATAAAATTGATTTAGGCATTGGTACTAGACAAAGACTAAATGAAACAAATGATCAAAAAGAGGAACGTAAAAGAAAACTTGCCGAAGCTGTTAAAACAATGATAGAATGTCTTGGCGAAGATCCCAAACGTGAAGGTTTATTAAAAACTCCTGACAGATATGCCGAAGCATTAATGTTTTTTTCAAAAGGTTACGAAGAAAGTGTTGAACGTATGTAAAGATCTTTTTCATTATAATAACATAATAGTATAATAATATTAATGATAATAGTATATATTTTTATATTAGAAATCATAAATGATGCAATTTTTGAAGAAGGTACTAATTAATATTATATAAATATTGATTTCAATTATAAATAATATAAATATTGATTTTAATGATATAAATACTAGATCATGACGAAATGGTAATTGTAAAAAATATTGATGTGTTCTCATTATGTGAACATCATTTAGTTCCCTTTACTGGAAAGGTAGGCGATAATCTGATCATTGTGACATTAATATATCTCTTTCTTTATTTTGTTGAAATAATGATATATATTTTGTAATAAATAAATAGATAAGTATAGGCTATATTCCAAATCGTCGTGTTCTTGGTTTGTCAAAATTAGCAAGGATTGCTGAAATGTTTTCAAGGAGACTCCAAGTACAAGAACGTTTAACAAAACAGATTGCCAAAGCTCTGCAAGAAATACTTAAACCACAAGGTGTGGCTGTTGTCTTGGAAGCAAAGTAATTAATTTAGAATAAATAAATTTGTAAAATTTTTTAATTGATTGATTATCAATCAATCAATCTTCTCATTATTTTATTTGTTGCATTTCTTTAGTCATTTATGTATGGCAATGCGTGGAGTACAAAAACCTGGAAGTACTACAGTGACAAGCGTTATGTTAGGTGTATTTAGAGAGCAAGCTAAAACAAGAGAAGAATTTTTAACTTTAATAAAAAGTTGATGATGATAAATCCTATCAAAGACAATTTTTAAAAATAAAATAGATAAATTTTCATTTTTAATTAATTAATTAATTACTTTAATTTAATTTTAATTTATATTTAATTAAATCAATGTAATGTAATAATATTTATTATTATTATTAATATTAATATTTAAGAAAAAAATAAATTGCCATGATTTCAATTTAGCCAATCATATTAATTTTAAAATTCTATCATCCAAATATATTAAAACTAGCGCGTTAACAGCATAATGGAAGTTTTTTGTTACACAGAACCCATTGCTCTTGAAACTTCGCCAGTATATAGTTGTTACTTCTCTAAATTGGAGATCAAGTTCAGATCCAATTCAAATCTAGTTTATCACTTACTTTTTATTGTCAGAATGTTTGCCGTGTATTTTAAAGTTACATTGCACAATATAAAAAATTAATGTAACATTTCAAATTTTCACTATGCTCGCGTTAACAAACTTTATTCTTGTAAAATTTTTTTTTATCTAATCAGTCCCTGTTATTCAGTAAAAAAAAAGAGATATATAAACATTTGCTGCAGTAAACATGTGACGTTGTGAACTCTCTATAATAACGAAATATATTAATAAAGATGTTTTATTTCAGAAAAATTTACACAATTTTATTCACATAAGCAAAGACAACGTCTCATTTTATATTTATTATTACGTTCTAACATTGTTCTAATGTTATTAAAAACAATATTTAAAAAGTTTACATAGTCTGCGTGAATATTAAAAAAAGCAATTTCCCCGAACCAATGACCTTTATATTTTCTTGTATTGACATCTACATTTTTATCAATAAATTTCAAAGGTTTAAATTATTCAAACTGTTAAGCATTTTGGTTGTCTAAATTGACAGAGTTGGGTATTTGCTTCGGTCTAGAATTTTTACCACGATGTTTACTGTTCTTATATTTGGTGGAAGTATATTGTTATCTGGCTTTGGGAGTATTAGGCGAGTTCTCCTTCTTGGTCTTATCATCCTTGTTGGAGTAAATCCCAGAGATATTTCCAGATTTATGTTCTTCATCATTGGCGGAGTTACATCCTCCGACTCCTTAAAGTTAAAAATACATGAGAGATCAAATAAAACATATTAAATAGACTTACCAGCTGATCTTGTTCTAGAAAAGCCCATTAATTGTAAGCCCGACCGCATTAAACTCACTTTTGCTAGGTATACTGGAACATGGAGTTGAAAGATAACAGGCAGCAAGCCTTGAAAGTCTTGGATAAACATGTTGATGGTCTTTCTACCATTCTAAAATATTAAAGTTATCATCTTTTGTATTTTTGTTGATCAATACATCTTTGTCATCACTATCATCATAATCCTTACTAAAATCACCTAACTTTGACCCTGGGATGGTGCATTAAGGCATTTCTTCAAACATGAAAAATTTCAAAATTATGGAATGATCTACATGCACAGCTTTATCTATATACATGGAAAAAGGACATCTCACTTAACACAATCCTGTCATGGAAAAACATTGTGCAATTTGTCATGAAGTATCAGATTACACCATTGTAAACTTCAAATGGAGAATAGAGTTCCTATTTGAATATCAGAAATTGAAATGATATTTGAATGTTCATATTAATTAGCACATTCAAAATCAGTGTCAAATAATTTTTATATATTCAAATATCTGTAACACTTTTGAGTATCTGTAATAATTTTGAGTATCTGTAATAGCAACACTTTCTAATATCAGTAAATGATGGTATTATTTTAATTAATATTGATGGTAAATTTCCAATTTTTCATCTGAAGAGTCCATTACCAATGATAGATTTTGTATTTTGCTTGCACATAATAATTAGTTGTAAATAAGGCATTAACAATTAATATAATATTCAGGAATTTGTTTTAAGATGCAAAAGATTAATTAACTTCTTCACTACTCTTAAATGAAAAGAAATCACAAAAGGAGTTAAGTTATCCAATGATATTAGTACTAGATGGAATTCATCATCTTATTTATGGAAAAGGTTAATTGATTTATAAAGTGCAATTACTCATTTCAGTCAGGGAATATGCTAAATATGGAAATCAATTCTAGAAAAATTGGAATCCCTTTTGTGAATCAATTCATATATATTACAAATGGTCTAATATGAGCATAATGCACATTTGATTTCATTGGTTAAATTTTGTGACGATCTCTCTTCCAAATATCATGAGCATAGTGGACATTGTTGCATATCAAATGTGACAAAATCGATCATTGATCTTTTTATGTTGTGAAACTTGCTATTTCAATTGTTTTAAAATAGAAGAAAAGGAGTATATGCGAAAAGAAAATCTGGTGTAGCAAATATATATTTTTCTGGATGAAAGTATTCATTATTTTTGTCTTTGCTAACTAAGATCATTCAGATCATTTCTAGAACAAAAGTTAGATATGAACTGGAGTTTGGAGTAAAATCTACACATGTGCACACAATTTATTTGAATTTAAATATTTATTATGAAGTGAATGGGGAGCATTTACAATTAAATTGATTTACTGCTATTGAAGCATTGAATTTATTATTTATTATCAACATAATTATCATATATTTGCTTGTGTTCTTAACTCTATTATTATTATATTTGTAGTTTATTGATTTGATTTATAATAAGCAGGCATAAGGTTTTTGGATAATATAATTATTGTTCATTTTATTGATATTAGAAAATAGAATATTTTGATATAATTAAAAAAAATTTATATAAATTTAATTATAATAATATTTTAACAAACATTTAAAAATTTTTTTTACAAGTGATAGAAATTCAGCATCAAAATATTCTAGTAGATATTGCTGTAATAATACTACTATTATTAACAATAAATTATTAAAGAGTATGTGTATATATACAACATTGCATTAATTAAAAAATAGATCTATACAATCAGAAAGAATGCTATGCAACTATTATTATTATTATTATTTGATATTAATGAAACAACAAATAAAAAAAGATAATAAATAAATAGTTTTTATTGCTTTCCCTAAGTGAAATAGTTAATTTATTACAAATATTGTGTTTTCCTACCTATAATCCCAAGCTGGCCTTAAAGTTGCGTTTGACTATCAAAAGTTGAAATTTTTTATTATATAATAATCGCCAAACCAATCAAAATGAAATATGATTGACAAAAATTTGGCCAATGAAATAGTTGTTTTTGTGATCTGCAACTGCTCTATTCCAGTTATTAAAAAAAAAAGATTGTGATTATCGCATCTTGTCATCATTCTTGTTTATGTATCAGTCAGACAGGATTTCACGCGATCGACATGTCTACTGTCATAGCTATGTAAAATTTTTGTGAAACATGTCAATTTTTACTATTAAAATCGAAGTTACTTTTTTGTTTGTTACTAGTACACCCATATATAGTTTTTAACAAGGAACGTGATATTTTGTACACGCATTCTTTGAGACTTATTTTATTTCCTTGTAAAATTTTAGGTATGATTTCATAAAGAAACGAAAAAGAATTACCAGTTGAAAGTTATTCATTCAGTTTTTAACGACATTACCATTTTTAGTAAAATTTTAAAAAAAATTAGTAATTTCAATGAAAACGAAAAACCACCTTTAGAAATAACATTGCTTTATTGAATTTGGGTTGAGTAGTCAACTGTCAATATTATAATTATTTAATAAATAATTCCTTACTAATAAATTTAATGGAAATTTTTGTTTATAAGAATGAATGGGGTGTTCTTTGGCTAATAACAAGATTCATAAAAGGTACATACATACTTTTTTTTTTTTTTTTTTGATTCAATTAATTATAATATTAGTTAAAATAATGAATAAGATATGAACAAATAAATAAATTCTAATATTTTTATTTATCTTTTTTTTTAATTAACTTCTAACAGTTTCTTTGTTTTTTTGAGAAAGAAATATTAGTTGACATTCTAATATAGTAAATAATAGGTAATAATGATATATTATTTTCATTGTTTTAATAAAAGATATTAGATTCTTTTTTAATAATGATTAGATTGTTAACAAGTTCTTTCTTTGACAGATATAAAGAAAACATATTTTAGAATTAATATAAATAGATGTTTTATACAATATTCCTACAAAATAAAAATTTGTTAAATCATTGTAATTTCATTTTAATAATTATTAATAAATAAAATTTATTATAATTTATCTTTGTGATCGTAAAAATCATTGTTAAATATATATTTAATTATCAATAATCCATAATCCATAATCCATATCCTACATTTTAATCATCTCTACTTCCATACAAACATAAATTTGTTGTAAAAGTCACAATAAACTTGAATAAGAATAAAATGGATTCAAATCAAAGAAATTTAAATTTGATTGAAAAAGATGTTGAATTGATGGAAGAAGTAAGCTATAATTTAGTTGAAAAAGAAAAGGGATCAGAAAGTGAGTATGATGAAGATGATGATTTTAGAATGTTTGTGTTAGATGAACCAGCTCTAGAGACTGCAAAAAATCTATTTGATTCTCAGAGGTCTCAAGATGTACAAGATGAAGAAAGTAGTGATGAGGAAAGTGATGAGGAAAGTGATGAGGAAAATGATGAGGAAAATGATGAAGAATTTCATATATTCAATGATAGTAATAATGAAGGGGATTTTGTTATACCAGATACTAAGCCCACAAAGTTATCATCGTGTGTTATAATTGATAATTATAATTCTACAGGGACCATTTCTCGATGTTGTTCAATAAAAAATTTAGTACCATTGGCATGGCTCTCTGGAACATGGGAAGTGGATGTATCTGTAGGAAATAATTCTGATTATAATTTATACAAATATGGAGTTTGTACCAGTCATTTTAATTTTGATATTAGCAAACTTCATAATTCTACAAAAAAAAGAAGCATCAGTGAAAGTAAAATTCATAAAAAAAAATGCATTATTTGTAATAAAATTAAATGTTTTTTCAGTAGAGGTAATAATTGTATTCAACATTCCTGGAGTATT